AGACTTGTGAGCTTTTAGGGAACCACAGGGGCCCCAGGGGAGACAGTTGGGAGAAAAAGAGGTAAAACAGGGTGACAGGGCTCAAGGATCGGTTTGTGACATTAGCTACATGAGGTAGGACAGCAGTTGGCCTTCCTGATCCAAACTGGACTAGATTCCTGTCGTTTCATCCTCTCTGCCCGTTCTGCTGGCTTCTAAATGTCAGAATGACAATTCCAATTTCTGAAGCCTGACCTTTGTATGCAGGCTTCATCTAGTAAGAATCATTGCAGCAATGTAGCGCTCAAGGATACGGCTCTTAACATGGGTGCACAATTAACATTGTGCATAACAGGGTCCCTTCGGGGCTCACATTGTCTCAGCCTACCCTCAGTGTGCCTGGACAATTGTACATCCTTCCCAGTTTTATAGAGGGCAAAATTGAAGCTCAGGTCGCTAAGGGATTTACTTGAGGGTTACAGATCTTAGAAGGGATTTACCAGAAACGCACAGTGATTTTGCATGACTGTGCCAGTTAGTGTCTGTCTTTTGGTACTAAACTACTCTAGCTTTCATTTCCATGGTTAAGAAGCAGCTTTGTGCATGGGATGCAGGCTTTTGGATAAAAGATATGGTTTGTTTTGGTGTGTGTGTGTGTGGGTGTGAGTGTGTGTGTGTGTGTGTGTGTGTGTGTGTGTGTGTGTGTGTGTGTGTGTGTGTGTGTGTGTCTGTGTGTCTGTGTGTGTGTCTGTGTTGAAATAGGAGTCTCCCTATGTGGCTCAGGCTGGCTTCAAACCCCAGACGGACTTGCTTGTGTCGGCTAATGTGGACGCTTATACCTGTGCCACCATGCCCACCTGTTAGTAATTGTTAAGAAAACCCAATCTGCTTTGAACCCAAGTGAGCATAGCCTAACACTGTGTGTGCGGAAGTAGAGCTGTGTCCACTACCACACAGCAGAAGTGGAGACAGGAGCACTCTCTCCACACAGCCATCTTCCTTTAGCTTCACAAAGCACTGTGCTTCACAGGAGCAGTGATCATTATTTACATGGCTAAGTCAGGGTGGTCCTGTTTAAAGGCTGCACTAAATGAAATGGCATACCTAAAATTGTAACAAAACATGGCCATGCATTTTGGATAAAAGATATGGTTTGTTTTGGTGTGTGTGTGTGTGTGTGTGTGTGTGTGTGTGTGTGTGTGTGTGTTGAAATAGGTGTCTCCCTATGTGGCTCAGGCTGGCTTCAAACCCCAGACGGACTTGCTTGTGTCAGGCTAATGTGGACTGAGTTTATATCATGTAGCATTTGGAGAATAGGGAAAGAAGTTTGTCTTCATGTAACCATATGAGTTGGAAATGGAGTAAAAGCTGGTATTCCTGTAGTGGAGCCTCTGAAGTAATGAAATAGACTTAGCTCTTACACATGACTATATGGGCACATTTAGAACATCCATGCTCAAAATCTCCACAACTAGTTCAGTTTTCCTGTCATTGACTCTATGTGCACACACGCACGCACGCACGCACGCACACGCACATGCACACGCACACGCACACGCACACGTACACACACTTATAAAGTATTATAGATAGTATGAGCCAGCTGCAGAAGTTTTGCAGCTCAGTTGGTCTTACTGGCATTCCTCAACCGCTATGGGTCAGTCACATCCGTATTTCAGGGAAAACTGTTGAGACAGGGAGTCCTCAAGATACAATTCTTTGCCTAAGCAAGCAGACCCTCCCCCCACCAAAACAAAAAAAAGAAAAGAAAAGGAAATCACAAATTTCTCAAGGCTGTCTTGCCCTGCATGTGTATCCTTCCCAGCGCTATCCACTTCTTTTACACCCAAGCACCCTGGTCATTCCTGTAAGATCCCACAGCAGTTGCCGCCCCTTCCCACTTCCCTTCTTGTGGGGAAAGCTGATGCCCCTTTGCTACTGTGCTAATAAATGCACTTTGATCTGTTGTGATCAGACTTCGGTCTCTTTCCTACCTTTTGTCCCTTTATTCTGCACTCCAACATCTAACAATTATACAGGAGAATGATGCTATTTATTAAAATGTATCCAGGAGTTATGCTGGATTTGTGTGTGTGTGTGTGTGTGTGTGTGTGTGTGTGTGTGTGGGTGGTGGTGGTGGTGGTGGTGGTGGTGGTGGTGGTGCTGTTTTGCCCAAAGATTAGAGAACAGAGTTAATGGTCTAAATAGGCCTCTATTAAGCAGGAGAAAAGTCACATTCACAATTTTGAATGTTTTTCTATGACTACGATCAACTTATAGTAATTTCGTTGTTGACTGTCATATTTAAAGCCTGTCACGAAATAGTGTGTTTTTTGTCATGTGTCAAGTGTTGACTTACTTTTCTAGATTTTTCTTTCTCCATTCCTGGTCTACTCATTTATCTACACATTTCAAAATACCATTTAAATTATTAAATTTACCTCATCAGACTAGACTTCTTTCCAGAGCTTTAGATACTATATATCCAAATGCTTTTTTAAAATCAAAACTTTCACATGTAATTTGGATGTTGTGTTAAGGACTTTTATCATTACCATTCTCCTATACACACACACACACACACACACACACACCAAAAAAAAAAACCCCAAAAACAAAAACAACAACAAAAAACAACTTACCAACCTAAAGAGAAAGAATTTGTTGGCTTACAGTTCTAGGGATACAATCTATTATGGTGGAGAAGGCCTGGTGGCAGGAATGGGAGTGGAATGATCATATCACTTCTAAAGTCAGGAAGCAGAGAACAATTAATGCTGCCTTGTTTGCTTACTCCTTTGTATTTGGTTTAGTGGATAGCTCAGCTTTGGAGCGGTGTTGTATTCTGCTTAGTGAACAAGCTCAGTTTTGGAATGGTGCCACCCACAATTAGGGTTCATTTTCTCACTTTAGTTACCATATCATGAAAACACTGTCGTGCATAAACATGCTCTGATTTGTCTCATAGATGAGTCTAGAACTTGTCAAGATGACTATCACTATTATCCATTGCATATGTCAGGCTCAACATGTTAAAAGCTGGACTGTGTTCTCCCTACAACTGGCTCATTAGCAGCTTTTCTCTTTCCCACTGATGGAAATTCATCATCTGGGTTTGCAAGACCAAAAATCATGAAGCTGTTCAAGATTTCTGTTTCTCACATCCACCACCAATGTAGAAATCCTGGAATCCAACTACTTTTGACCATATGTACTACAACCATCCTAGAAGTAGTCCCCCTCAGCTGTCCCCCTCAGTATCCCCAAACTGTCCTACAATAGTGGTACATCAACTTCTCTTCCTGCCCTCCCACTGTTCTCCCATTTCTGAATCTTCTCAGCACAACAATCAGAGTGACAGCTTCAGAATATACTTCAAGAGTACTATATTATTCCTTAGCTAAAGCCCAGCAGTGTGACTCCAGGACATTATGAACCAAAGTGGGTACAACAATCTTCAAGACCTTT